CCTTCTACTCGTCCTTCTATAATCAGTTTTAACAATCCTTCGTGTCACATTATATGGCCTATCCACTCGTTTTGTCTTCTAACTATTTGTTTCCATAGTAATTTTCCTTTTGATATTCTTTCCAGTACTTCTTCGTTGGTTACTCTGTCCATCCAACTTATCCATAACATTCTTCTAATATACCACATTTCATGCGCCTCGAGTCTTCTTCGTTCTTTCATTGTTATTGTCCAGGTTTCACACCCATATATATTTTTTCTTGTTTTTAGACTAATGTTTCTTGATGTTAATATAGTTTTGTTTTTGACGGTAGAAATAAAAAAGCTAAAATCGATACGAGCATTGTAAAAGCCATAATATTGTACGTAAAGACTTATACTTTGAGTGTTAGACCGGATTCGATATCAATAATATATTTTTTCAAATACCTGTTGAATTTCCAACGGTCAAAGTGCGATATTACACTTTTTTTTTTATGGGTTTTCCTTTATTAAACAAAAAGACTTTGACTGACAGATTTTTAAGATAATCGTTTATGTTATAGCCCCACTTTAGACTAACGTTCATTTTAATTTTAAGTTCTAGAAGTAAGAAGCGGCGAAACCCTAGATATTGTTTTTAGGCCGACGGTCGTTCACCACGCTATGTATGAAGAATTCGGTCGGGTGGTTTAGCAGATTTTTGGTGGATTTAGACAGAAATAAAATGTAAATAAAAACAACACAATATTCTATCATCATTCTAAAAAACAATACTTTCTCAGCTACGCTAAAATCAACTAGTATTATAATATTATGCTAGATGGTGTAAAATACGCCGTACAACGGAGGTGATCATTATTGTTTTTTTTTTTTTTTTACAGAAAACCTATATTTTGCGTTATTAAATAATAAAGTCGGTGACCGGACGTTGCACAGCTCGGCGATTGCGCCAGAACAGAAACGCCAAAGTTTCGTTCAGTTCATCACGATATTGCATAGATCAATGATTCAAAAAAAGAGAGAAAAAGTATGTATTTGACAATGTATTATTACTCCGACGGTTGTCGATATAGACCGCAAAGGAAAATGTTCGCTGTATACAACCTAACCGTGTTAAAAAAACACATTTTTTGACACCAAACACAAGTTTTGGTTTCAGTTTTCGCTGTTGTTCACGTCTGTTAATACTAACTGAATAATATAGTCGTTTTGCCACTTCTTTCGCCAGGGATACACGGAGGTCTGTGTTATTTTATGATACCGAATTGTCTTTTAGTTTTATATTACAAGACTGCTGATCAACATCCTGCACGGGGCCATGTACGGGTACATATACTACGGAATCGGTAACGACGCCGCGTACGTACAAGACAATTTGAAACTGTTGTTTTTCACCATAATGTGCGTTGCATTCACGTCCAGTTCCACAATGATATCGAGCTGTAAGACATCAAACGGTATTTCACATAACGGTTAACTAATCGACACGGTTTTTTGTGGTTACAGTTCCATTGGAAATGCGAGTACTCACAAAAGAACACTTCAACCAATGGTATTCGCTGCCGACGTTTTACATGGGCTACACGATTGTCGACCTGCCCATCGAGGTAACGCCATTCGAGTTGTAACTATCTTTTGTAAAAAATGTCTTCTTGTTCTTCTTCGTCTTAGCCTCACACTCCCAACTACATGGGGCCGGCCACCCTAGTCATACACCTATCCATATAGCTCGATCTTCTACATCTCGTTCGATCAGCCCAGCTATTCATACATCACTCTCTATTCCTCTCTCTCCTTCTACATTCATCTTCATAACAACTCTCATGACCAAACTATCTCAACCTATTCTCTCTCATTTTCCCCACAGTTGATGCAACTAACAAGTAAATACACAAGGGGGAGTCTACCTCATGTATTCATTTCCTATTCTGTCCTCCCTAGTCACTCCACTCATCCATCTTAGTATTATCATCGCTGCTACACTCAGTTCAGTTTTCTTGTCTACTGTCCAACATTCCGACCCATAAAACATTGCTGGCCTCACTCAATGTCCTACACAATTTACCTTTCAATCTTACAGGCATCCTCCAGTCACACAAAACACCTGACGCTCCGCTCCACTTCATCTATCAACAATGTAACCTATTTTTCGTACTTAAACACATTCACATCTTTTAAAGAAAATGTCTTAAATTCTACTCAAACGATTTCGTTTAAAACAGAAATTGATGTTTCAGGTTTCGTGTACATTTTTGCACTGTACCATCGTTTATTACTTCACCGGGCAGCCACTCGAATGGTCGCGGTTCGGTTACGTCACACTTATGATACTCATGGTCGGACTCATGGCACAGACTGCCGGCATGTTTTTTGGCACCCTGTTCAGGGATTTGAGAGTAAGTTTCTAAACGTAGCCCCCTCTTTTTGGCGGTTTTTGAACGTGCACATGTTAAAGTCTAAAATTCGAGTGGACATTTTCGTGTCATCGTCACGAAATCTGTTACGTTTGTTATGTAACAAATTTATTGAAAATTTAGACTTTGGGTCGACCCGAGAAATTTGTGATTACAAAAAAAAAAAAATGTTAATAATTATAAACAGTATGATAATCTGGAAATAAAAATATAACGAATTATTTGAATAAACCCTTAACCACTAGAATGACGCTCAATATAGTTAGCACAGCAACTTACTATACTTAGCTACTTCCTCACCATATAGTTACTTACTCGTGTTTATATGCAGTGCGCTACACTTCTATCGATGGTCACACTCATGTCGTGGGTGTTGTTTGCCGGTGTATTTTTAAGGATTCCCGATACTCCGCCATCGTGGCGATGGTTGTATGATATTTCATTTTTCAAGCACGCGTTGGAAGGAGTGCTGCACAGCGTTTATGGATCGGATCGACCCGATTTACAATGTTCTGAAGTAAGTTCATAATAGAACACCCGCCGAAATGGCCAATGGGCAACGTCGAGTTCAGCTATCGAATAGTAGACTTCTGAGCGAGTATAATATTTTGCGGTCGTTTCTTTCGCAGGTCCATTGTTACAGCACTTCGCCAACGAGAGTGTTAAAAGAGGTCGGCATGCCAGTCGATAAGTATTGGATCAACATATTAGTAATTTCGACAATTTATTTGGTCCTCAAGTTATTAGTTTACCAAACGGTAAAAAGAAAGCTGATTGTTCATTGGTAGTGTTGATTCCACGAGTGATATAAAAACCTGTAAAATGTAAATCTAATTGAAGTATTGCACTTGGACAATAGTATTAATGTTTTATCAACATATATTAAACAAAATTATGGTATTATGGAAATTTTGTAATGTTAAAAAAAATCAAACATCTATGTTAAAAGATAAAAATGTATTTTTATAATATTTTATAACTTTTTTTTATTATTGTTAAATTTAAATTCATTATGAGGATTTTGTTATGTGTGTACAATTTGTATAAATTAAAAAGAAATTGCCCCTAAGTTGTAATAATTTCTGTAAACCTGAGACTCTCCGTCTCAACTATACTTCGACCTCACTGTTTTGGCTTTTTTCTTGATTAGGTACATTTTTAAAAAACCGTAAATGGTCCTCAACAAATGCTGAGCATAAAAATATAACTTCGCAGAAACCTAATAAAAAATCAACAATTTTACAACGCTTTAAAATATATTAATTAAATTCCATATAATTTACTTGTTAATATCTATAGCCGTTCTCTATAATAATAACGATCCAAAATGTACTTTAAAATAAGACATAATTAATATTTAAAATGTATAATTATATTAAACACTTGAAATAACATGCTTAAATAAAATGCTTTTTAATTATTATACATATTATCTATATATAATAATAAAACTATAAAATAATTATCATTTCGCGGTCTTGAAAACTAATTACGGTTCTATAGTAGATTTTATCAAAAATAGTTCTATCTTATAAAAAAAGGTTTGTTAGGGAATAATGCACAGTTTTCAATTAAAATTATTTAAACTGGCATATTAATTAGGAGTTAGGAAGATACAGAAAAACTATAAGTTCTCTGTACCCCGATAATCTGATTAGTTGGATAACCCTGACACGTAGATAACCCCATTTGATCGTCATTGAACAAATAGAAGGAACAATTGTTGAAATTATTTTACCAACGGTACAATAGTATATTTTTGAAGTTTCTAGTCAAAAGATTCTATCTGTTGTACAAACGCTATTCGTTTTCCATCAAAACTATGTGTCTTTACATTGTATGTCGCCAACAGAGAGTTCTATCACCAATACCATTTATCACATACATGCTATATACCAGAAACTAGTCTCCCGTCGGTTTATGAAACGCATGCGGCAACAATTGATTGGTTGTCTTCAAGTTTTGGCGATAATATTGATATCATAATCGCGGGTCACTATAACTTTCGTGGCACAACCTTTTCAGGTAACAACACTGGTTTAGCAGTTGTCGCTCCCAGTCTGTTTCGATAATATCATTCATGATTGTGTTTTCCGTTGACCCGTGTTCGAGTCCTTTAGTTACACAGTAGATAGACCACGCCCTCCCTTGAACAACCCATCAAATCCAACGCAAGTTAATCGGAATTTCAATAGAAAAAACTTTGACGACACATCAGTTGAATTAAATACAATTTAATCGGTGCAATTTATTTTCCCGCGAAAACAATATTACTGCCGATTTTCGAATTCGATAACGAATATTTAAACTCCGCGCTGTGTGTCTGGGTCACAGGTAAACAAACGTTAATAGATAATTGAGGTGGTAATATGCTTATAATTATTGTTTTTATTTCGTTATCGTCCGCGTGCACTCTTTGCCCGAATAGGCGCTATTAATTAAACGATTAAATAATTAAAAAAAAAAAAAATTAAAATTAAATATACTTTAATTAGAGTCGATACACGAGAACTATTAGTCTCTAAAGCCAACAATCGACTAGATAAATATTGTTAATCTTGGCGGAAAACCGGTTTTTTTCACACAACTCCCAGTCGCGTTCAGTTATCGCTCGTCGACGACGTTCTCGAAAACCGCATATTTAACAATCATTTTATTCATTTCAATTCTTTTGCCGACCTCAACAGACAGTATAATATCCCGCAGCATAATATTTTCTACAGCAGAGAGCTGTCTGTAGTGTGTAAAATCAATGATATTAATCTGTAGCATAATCAATTAATAAAAGCGAGCTTTTTTTTTTAAACGAAGTCAAATTAATTGGTGCTCTCGAACAGATAACCGTCAAACTTTGTGTCATCAACTTGAAATTGCTCGTAGAACATCAAACTAAGATTCAGGTAGTGATGGAATTATATTAATAATGTATTATACGCACGTTTTTGTAAATGTTTGCCTAATCTGCACAAACGTTTTTTATCAGAATAAACTGACTATGTTTTAAGTATAATTATAATATAGGTAGTTTCCTTTATAACATAACTTTTTCGTAGCAAAAAATTAACACAAGATTAACAATCAATGATTTTACTCTGCAATACAACCAGAATAAAAGCAAGAATTTTTTAATGTTTAAAAAAATACTTATAAATAACCCCTAAAACTTTTACTTAAGTACTCAAAAACATACTACGATCAATCTAAAGGGGGATGTTCATAAAAATATTGCTATGATTTGATCAATTTTTTTTAAAGATTTAACGCGATTATTTAAAAATATATAAAATCTACGAAAAACATCATTTTCCGCGAATTAAACTATTGTCCCGAATGGTTTTCTTCTGTTTAATATGTTTTCAACTAAAATATCCTAAAACAAGTGTCAATGTATGTACTATAATATAATACAAATCTAATCAAATATTTAATACGGCGTTATCAAATTTCGCGAGTTTTCAGAGTTTGATAACATGATTTTAATTTTTTTTGTTAATAAATAAATATAAATACTAATCAAAAGCCGATTACCAACAACTAATACGATATGTTTATTTTTTTTACTATTTGCCTAATTAATAATTAATTGTTAATACTTAAGCTACTAAAAGTTTTTAATTGTTTTAGTAATTAATAAATATAGATACTAAATAATCAAAGACTGATTACAAACAAGTAATTTGATGTACAAATTAATAAATATAGTATATTATAATTATGCTCAGTTAGGAAATACAGTTTGAAGGAAAATTATGTAAGCACCATCTTATCATATTATCCATGTTTAATTATAATATATATTTACTGCCCTTCCTCCTTTTTTTTCTCTTAAAAATTCCATTATAAAACAATCCTTATTAGTTATGTATTTTTCACGAAATTCAACTCTACAAAAAAAGCGTATTAAAGCTTACTTGCCAAACCGACATTAAAATATACAATAGGGTGTACTTAAACGAGAAAAAAATTCAGCTACCAATACCTGCAATTCAAATGATGGTGTTAGGCAGCTTAAGATTGAATAATTGCTATAATTGAGGAGCGCAATAGTTGCCTAACCAACAAATAAAAATATGAATTTAAAGTTAAAATGAACTTAATTAAATTTATTTTTTTTCAAATTAGAAAAAAAAAATTTGGAAAAAAATCGAATTACTAATTAATACTTTTGAGTAATTAAATAATCAATTTTAAATTCAATTCGATTTATTTAGTTATATTTTAATAAAACAAATTTTGAATTAGTTAATATTATAAGTTTACCAATTTTAAATATATGTTCTAATTTTTTCGCTAGACCACCTATTGTGCATAACACCCCATATAATCTATTTTCAGTAAGTGTACTTTATAAGATAAGGTGCCTCTGCTATAATAATATATACCTTATACTAAAATAAATTGATTATTTTGAAATATTGCCTTATCGTATTGGAGTTATACTTATTTCACCGGTTTATTACGACTTTCTACATTGGTAGATATTAAACGCATAATACAAACTTTTCTAAAAAAATATGGAAATTGGCTTCAAAAAAAAATTAACCCCAAAAACATATAATTTTATGTGCAACTTAAAATATATCAAAAATTAAAAAAAAATTCCCGCCTAAAGGGTGGGGGGGGGATATAATTATCAAAGTCAATTGAAATTTATAATATACTATTTTTAATGAGATTCCCGTTTATTATTGTTTTAAATTTCTGTAAATTATAACTGTTTTATCCAATTATCAATAAAACAAAAAAACGAACTTGACTCGAGTTAAAAAAATATAGACGACATTTTAGTGCGGTTCATGTTTAGATGTTCATTTTAAATTTCAAGATGACATTTTTAAAATGACAAAATATAATTAGTATAGTAGGGTATTTATAACATATTTTAGCCAATTTTGTATACAACATTTTTTTTTTATCCAATTGTAGCCCGTAACATGAACAATGGAGTATTAAAACTATAATTGCTCTTCATAATAGTTCTAATAGTATACAAATATTCGGTGATAATATTCCCATAGGCCATAATAATAAGGCACATGCGTTCCTTGGGTCCTTGGCAACGCAAAAATACACACATGGTGAAATTCTCAGTGACGGGTCAATAAAAAAAAAAAATAGGTAGTAGGGAGTGGACCGTTGTGTTCAGCGTTTGCGTTCCACTAGACTATATTGAACAATTATTCTGTGGAAGTTCACGGTCGTGTATCAGTTGATCATTTACTACCATATTATTATAGCTATGACCGTTAAATGAAATAACTACTGCTTAAAGTTCGGATTTGTTATTTGTCACATTTTCCATTTCTGTCGAAAGAACATAACACAATATCTATTATTTGATCTAAAACCAAACTTTGTGACATCAACTTGGATTTGCACATAAAACATCGAACATAAATTCAGGTAGTGATGGATTTATACATTAATAATATTATATTATTATACTCACATCTTTGTAAGTGTATGCCTAGTTTTTACAAAACATTTTCATCAGAACTGACTATATTTTTAATAGTATTTATATTTTATTCTATTAAAAGACGACAACTCCCATACCAAATTGAAATCTTAATGATTTCTTGTGGGGCCCATGGCAGTTAAGAGAGTTATGTAATTTAAATAATTATATCTAAGTGTACTCATAAGCCCAATACGAAATAATTTAGATTAATCACTTGGCATGGGTGTTGTCATCTTTATATTAACTAAATATTAATGATAAAACATTTTTACACAGCAAAAATGAACACCAGAGAAACAGTAATAATAATCCTTTATGTTAATGTGTGAAATTGCTTGTTACATAGTCCACTGATTTCATTTGGTAATTAGTGATAAAAAGTTATCTACATAGTTAAGATCTATACAAACAACATTGTAGTTATAACCCAATTTTAAACTGAAATATTTGTACAATCAACACAATATTTGCATTTAATTATGTTTTTGTATGCTAATTCTAAAAAATGTGTAAAACATAATATAAAGGATTTCCTTTGTCCGTGACTATTCCTCAAGTCAAAAATGTATTATACAATAACTAAATTAAAAAAAAACCGTATTTTCAAAAATATCTAATGGTGATATATTTTATAGGCCACAGTAATGATGTTTTTTTTTTTAACAGTTCAAAATAAAAATAATTTTTTTTTAAAAATTTACATTAATTTTGTAAACTTTTATTTAATTTAAAAATCTCAGATAGCTAAATTGTAGGCCTGATATTTTTTTGAATTTGTATAGTGTAATTATAATTGATTCCCATTAGACATTCATGCCGTCCTAAAAATAATTTGTAATTTAGTTATTTATTTTTATAATCTTAATTTGAACGTGTAGTTCACTATTTTTTCCATACATCAATTTATTAAATTTCAAATCATTATTACTCGATTTTTTTTGTTGATATATTTCTACAAAAATAGAACATTTTCGGCTGGGAACAATTGATGGAACGATGACTTTGATAACCTTCAATATTCACCATGATTACATATTAACTATGTAACATTATGTTATTTAGCTATTATTTTTCGTTCCAGTCATGCGATACTTAATGACTGTAATATGAATTGTATGACATTAATCAACCGTTTGCTAACGTATTTTTTTTATTTACGTTCATTTAGGAAGCAAAAATAATTATTACATAGGTACATTCTACAAAAAAAAAAAAAAAATATATATATATATATTTGTTCATAATTTGTAGAATGCAATGTTTATTACTAGGAATAACTATATTGGTAGGGCCAAACGAAATGTTTTTTAGTTTAAGTTTTACTGATGCAGTGGAACGTGATGCTTTTCAAACCGAATAACCATTTGTACGTTTAAATGTTTTTACTTTTAACTAAGTCAGTTCGTGTTCATAAATATTGTACATTACTTTTATATTTTTTAAATATTCGACTATAGACAAAGGCTGTAGCCTAAATTTTTAGCTACTATTCCTAAACACCATCAGCTACGGTAGAGTTTCTTTGTTTTAATTGATAATATATTGTAATAATTTTCTATTTGTTCACTTTTGCTCCTGACCTATATTCAATAATGTTTCTTTTTTAACTGTAAATCTTATCTAAAACGTTACATAATTGGTCATCCGTTATTATTTAGTCAATTAATTTATAATTATTTGATTACATTAATAATATAATTATTTGAATAATTTTTCTCCTTAGCCATGGCCGTAGCTAGATAACGTTCAGACCACCGACTCGCTGAACATATCATCATCGACTTCGATTCGAAGTGTTCGTTTCGAAATGACGTCAAAACCTTTGATGTCCGGCAAGACGGTTGATTTGGAGTTCAAAAATATCACATACAAAGTAAACTGTTGGCCGGACACTTTTAAAATAAGTAAGCGTCATAATTTCGTTGGCTGTACAATATTTGTTCAAAGGATTGGAGTAATATTATTTTTTCTTTCAGAGCAAAAAACCATTCTCAATGGTGTGAGCGGGAAGTTTAGCCCTAGTCAACTGTGTGCGATCATTGGCTGTTCGGGCTCCGGCAAGACTTCCTTGTTGAACATTTTATCCGGTTACAAGTCAGTTGAGATTTCATGTATAATTTTTCTTGTTACATTTTTTGAAAATTATATTAGTTTTATACATCTGCCAAATTGCGTTTACCGATTAGTTTAGACGTACATTGCGCCAGCACCGCCTTTTAAGAAATCTTTAATTTTCCACGTGCCGTTAATTACTAGCATGTAATTCCCATGAATTTGCAAGCCTAGTTCAGAATTCGCCCGATAACAGTTTAGCTAGAACAACAAAAATACCATAGTTTGGTACTGTTTACATTAATAATTATGTAAATAATTATCATTGTGCAAATAAATTCACAATAATGTATTGTACACAATTCAAGTACATCTATTGGCTACTATCAGCTCTATGCGTAGTCTTAAAAGTACATCTGTACAGGTTCAATCGGTCATATACCATGGCATATATAGTATGTAGTTGAATTTTAGATTTCTTAATTATATTATTGGGTATATTATGTTATCATACGATTTACTTACTTTGTTTCTACTGAAAATGTTTCTAAAGTATTGCCCAATGAAAGTATAAAGTGCGTCACGTGAACTAGTTTCTGGTTTTTTTTTTGTCTATATAGCAATAGATTTTATACAATAAAAATATCAAATTTTTTATACTGTTGTACAATATAGATAAACAATTATGCAAATTGATTAAGGTTAGGTATAATCTTTAATCTGATTTGTTTGCTATTAAAATACAAATAACTCTGCAAATTGTAATAATTAGGCAAAACTAGACGGATAGAGTTTATCTATAAGTAGTTAACCCCAACTTATACATATCAATTCATAACGACCTTTACCTTCTTACTGTAAAACAAACTGCTATCCTATTAGATATATAAACAATGTTGGTACATATTTATGTAATTCAACTAAAGTTAGATATAATATTATGTTTATAACAACATCTGATTTGATTTGTTTGCGTTTGCTATTAATCCTTCACTGCACAATGTTCCATACATGGAACAATTGTATTTATTGTTTATATCTGCTCATGCTATACATCTTTGTATGCACAATGTTCCATAATGTTCCAAATTCTTTAATTAGCGTTTTCCATGAAACCAAAACTCAAAAAAAAAAATTATTACAATTATTTTAAGTAGTATTCAGTACATTTATAGCATATGGTTAAAAAACAATTCATGCAGCGAAGGGTTAAAATACAAATAACACTGCAAATTATAATAATTAGGCAAAAATAGACGGATAAAGTTTAAAGTAGTTAATCCCAACTTATATATCAATTCATAACGACCTTCACCTTCTTCTACTGTAAAACAAACTGCTATCCTGTTAGATATATCAAACACTTTCACGACCGTCTCATAAATCGTCCAAACCCTCTTATTAAAAATCTGTCTTCCCACATGATAACCCTAGTTAATAAATGTATATATTTCAGAGCGAGTGGTTACACCGGCACGATATTGGCGAACAATAAACCTCAAAAATTGAATTCGTTCAAAAAACAATCATGTTATATAATGCAAGAAGATCAACTGCACGAACGGCTCACTGTCAGAGAAGCAATGCGGTTCGCTGTAAAACTAAAATTCTCCGTTTTGACGTTGGACAAATCGAAACAAAAAATGGTATTAGGATACACAATTATATATTTTTATTACTTGTTTTGCATATACCTACCACCCACGCTGCAATAGATTCCAGAAGTTGTTGTGCCGCATGTACGCCAACTCATTTTAAACTGTGAGCAGCACATGGAACAAATATTCATTTTTTGGAAATAGTATGGACTTGAACTCCATTATAAACTCCAGCCATGTTGAAACCATTATCAAAGCCTTCTCCCCTGCAATCCTTGATGTTTAATCTATCTTCTATCAATTTATTTGATATTTCACCAGCTAGTCCTGCTCCAGTTTTCTCGTGCCTTATGCTAAAGTCAACGAACGATTCCTCTGTTGTCCCTTCTCCATCAACGACAATTTGTGCATATCTTATTGTTTCAGTTTACACTGCTCTTGGTGACAAGCGTCTGGATAATGGGAAAATATTTAGATTTCTTTATTCTATTTAATATGTTTTCATGTTTAACTTGTTGCCTATAAGTGTAACTAGTTCATTTTGAATAATACCAGAAAAATAACTTTAATTTTACTGTAATCTACTTATATCTTTGACATTATTTACATGTTCGGCTGATAAAGGATCATAATGACTTATTAATTCGATTAGGCCGAGAAAAATTCCACAATAGATAACAAATTATTAATAGCCTTATCATCTTTTAATCGTTTTTCATTACCTTCCAATCTACATAACATGTTTGATGGAAATCGCTTAGTTCACGAAATTCAAGGATTTAAGTGTTGCCAATCGCTAAAACTGTTGTCAAAAAATGGGGAATTTCGATTATGATCTTTATTTTTTTTAAGCAAACAAGGAAAACAAAATAGAGCATCTTTACTAATACTATACACTAACTACTGTCTTCTCACATTTTCATCATTCGGTAGAGATTTAAAAAACCATTTACCATCAAAACGCATCCCGTCTGCATTTAATGGAAAGCAATGATACGGTTTCTGTTCAACAATATAAGTTCGAATGTTATCTGTCAAGAGTGGTCAACATCAAAACACTTTTTGTATTTATTTAACAAATTTTTATCTTTCTAAATAATTTGTTGTTCAATATTCTCTTCTAGGTTCAGTGAATTTTTTGACGTTGATCCCAATTGTATTTCAACTTTTTTTTTAGTTTCAAATCATAAGTATTTTGTTATTGTTCTGTTTGTTCTACAAGTGCAGCACAAGCGACTTCTTCATAATTTTCATTGTTAACTTTTTGAGTTAACCAATTTGTCATATTTGTTGGCAATTTTTCGTTTTTATTTTTTGTTCCTTTCATTTTCAAACCATGCACCAGAATGGTTTTTTTTTTAAGCCATTATGTTTTTATTTTACCTATCCTATTAAAAAAAGGTTAAATTATGAATATGCTGAAAACGATAGTAGTAATACTAGATATTCAATACATTTATTTGATACTTTTTAATTTTTTTAAATAAAACATTTTGAATTTTATACCGTATACAATTTGTATAATAACCTAATACGGTATGAGTATAATATGGAACGCCTACTACAAATTTTAATGCACGTATAAAATTAAAAACATTTTACTACATCACTACTTATTGGCTATAATAATACTTATGAAACACTGTAACTAATGTAGACTATAATATAGAAGGTTTAAAGCTGTAGGTACTTAGTTAATTGAAATCTTACGCTTACTAGTAAACATCGTCTTGGGTACCTTTAAATATTTAATATTTCTCAAAATGCAATTACACAGTCACACAAAACACTACAAACAGTTACAGTTGTAATAAAACCGACGTTGTCATTGTACACGTTGTTTTGAGCATACAGAAGAAAGTAAACGTTAATGTTAAACGGACTACACGATCATCAATAGACGAAACCACGAATAAACTGATAAACTGAAAAGAGAAACGACTAACAATACATTATAATTGAAACGATAAAAACAATACCTAATCAATTAAGCGGGTACTTCACGAATAACAGGTCACGTATAGGTACAGTTATGCTATCAACACATATATACATAGATAACAATCAATGATAACATAAATACGGCCCTGTTTGCGATGAAGTTGTCTGCACTCTTTGTATAGGAAACTGGATAAATAGATTGTATATAGTATTTACAGTGTGATATGTTATCGTGGCGTGAGATATTGAGTATATCTCACTGGATTTAATTAATAATTACATTTTTTTTATAGTGCTTTTATTCTCTACCAATCTAAAAATAGTTAACGAAATCTATGCGTTAACAAGTTTCGAAAGTCGATATAAAAATAATCAGTTTGGAAGGGTGGTAGGAATATGAAAATTGAGATCACATTATAGGAAAAAAAAAAATTAAACCCAGTGAGATATTGAGTGGTCCGTGATAAAAAAAAATCACCCCGTACGTATATTATATTATTTTACATTTTTAGATGGACTCGATTTTGAATAATTTAAATTTGCACGGTTCGTGCGATACCCTGTCGGCCAATTTGTCTGGCGGTCAACGCAGAAAGTTATCGTTCGCCTTGGAGTTAATCCACGACCCGAGAATAATGTTCTTCGACGAACCCACTAGGTAAGGTGTACAAAACAATCGTTTTCCCGCGAGTATTATAGTAACTGGTACAAGTGCGCGTTACGGGATTGACAATAATTTTGAAAATGTCAAGTACTCTGAAAACATAGACGCTTGGCGATTGTTAATATTAACACGTTGGCTGCCAAGCCATTTTTCATAGTACTCTCTTTTGGTATACCACGAGCGCATGTGTTTGATGCGACGCTAACGCAACCTACTTGAAATTGTACCAAATACCGCTGAAAGCGTCTTGAATACAAGAGGTTGTCTGCCTGTGATAACTGTGGGAGTCTGCTGGGTTCTCTCAAAAAAAAAAAAAAAAGAAAGAAATTCCATATTAATTATCCAATATGACTTTGCTAAATTTGCAACAACTCGTTATTCGATTAACCCCTCTAAATGAAAAATTCTGGCGCCCATCACAAACGTGGTCTTTCGTTCTCCGCCACTCTGTATAGTGTATTGACTAATAACCAACTCTATATTGGTCGCTATTTTTCCCGTTCAAGTGGTCTGGACAGCGGGTCGGCCAAACAGGTGCTTCTGACCCTGAAGGATTTCACCGAGTCCGGTCGCACGATAATCAGCACTATACACCAGGCTTCTGCCGTGCAGCTGCAAACGTTCGACGTCTTGTACGTGCTCTCCCCGTCTGGGCAATGCGTGTACCACGGACTCGCGTCGGCCTTGCCGGGCTTCCTGGCCGACCACGGGCTGCGGTGCCCGGCTTTCCACAACATCGCAGACTACAGTGCGTGCAAACATAGGCCGACGCGCACTGTTCGCATAAGATTTAATCGGTTTTTTTTTTGTCGTTCCAGTCATCGAAGTCAGCGTCGGAGAGTATGGCGATCAAGCTGATCGTCTGACGACGAGCGTCGACAACGGCAAATCGTCACGGTGGATGGCGATGACGGACGGCAAACAGCTAGGCCTCTCGGTCGGAGATCAGAAGACGTCAGGTCGGTTGATAAAAAAAAAAAAAATCCCAGTTCAACGACAAAGTCACTTTAAAACAAACACTCCGATGCGAATCTCTAAGGGGGTAGAAATAAAAAAGCTGAAATTGATATCTCTCTCTCTCTCTCTCTCTATGGTTTCAGTCCGTAGATTGGTTTGCAGCCATCTCTCATTATTCCCTCTTATCTGCTTTCCTTTTCGTTTCTACATATGAGTCACATCCTTGGTCCTTCAATTATTTGTTGAATGTATTCTAATCTTGGTCTTCCTCTACGGTTCTTTCCTTCTACTCGTCCTTCTATAATCAGTTTTAACAATCCTTCGTGTCACATTATATGGCCTATCCACTCGTTTTGTCTTCTAACTATTTGTTTCCATAGTAATTTTCCTTTTGATATTCTTTCCAGTACTTCTTCGTTGGTTACTCTGTCCATCCAACTTATCCATAACATTCTTCTAATATACCACATTTCATACGCCTCGAGTCTTCTTCGTCCTTTCATTGTAATTGTCCAGGTTTCACACTCATATATATTTTTTCTTGTTTTTAGACTAATGTTTCTTGATGTTAATATAGTTTTGTTGCTAAAGACTATTTTGGCTTGACAGATACATTTTATTATTTAACTTGTATTTCTTCCATCATAGCTGATTGCACTTCCCAAAATTGATATAAGCATTGTAAAAGTCGTATTACTAAGAGTATTAGGCAGGATTTGTTATCAATAATATATTTTTACAAACACCTGTTGACTGTTAAAAAGAAATAAAGAATAAGTTTTTATCCGTTCTAGAGGAAAATGTTTATAATATGTGTATGAATACCTATTTCATACAAATTTGCAACTAGCTCGACTGGTTTTAAAAAAGTGCAGTAATTTAAAGTTAAAAAATATGTAATTTGTTTGGGTATTCTTCACGATTCTGAAGGGCTAGGGGTGAAATCTGTGCGCCAACCAAGTACTTTTTCGGTGTTCGATGTTTGATTTAAAGAGTTACTATAAATGAAAAAATCAGTTTGGTGGCTTAGCAGATATCGTAGACAGAAATACATTTTAAAAAACAACACAATATTCTATCATTACTCTAAAACAATACCTTCTCAGTTAAGCTAAAATTAACTAGTATTATATTATAATCACGCTAGATAGTGTACAATATACCGTACGACGGAGGTGATTATTATTATTTGTTTTTTTTTTTTATCAGAAAACCTATTTGCGTTATCAAATAATAATGTTGCTGGCCGGACGTTCCACAATTCGACGATTGCCAAAGCACAGAAACGCCAAAGTTTCGTTCAGTTTATCACGATATTGCATAGATCAATGATTCAAACGAGGAGAGAAAAAGTAGGTACTTAACAATGTATTATTGCACTAAACACTCGCCGGACACATTTAACGGAAAAACATTTAATCATAGATATGTTATCTGATATCATTTGTATTTTGTTTCCTATCTCTTATCTCTAACTGAAATGGCGACATGAAATTCCTTGTATCCAGCCCAATAAGACAATATCCATGTTAAAAAGTAAAAGATGATTTAAGGAAAAAAACAAAAATCCTCATTAACGCGCTAACAAATTTACATAGTATGATAGTTTTGGCATTTATTTTTAAACGTTGGATGTTGATATGTACCAAAGTTGCCCACCTATTCTTTAAAATAGAACGTGTAAGAAATATTCAACCGCATCCGTACGAAGGATAGTCTTATCTATATTGTAATACTGGCGTTTATTATTTTGATGATATCGAATTGTCTTTTAGTTTTATATTACAAGACTGCTGATCAACATCTTGCACGGGGCCATGTACGGGTACATATACTACGGAATCGGTAACGACGCCGCGTACGTACAAGACAATTTGAAACTGTTGTTTTTCACCATAGTGTGCGTTGCATTCACGTCCAGTTCCACAATGATATCGAGCTGTAAGACATCAAACGGTATTTCACATAACGGTTAACTAATCGACACGGTTTTTTGTGGTTACAGTTCCATTGGAAATGCGAGTACTCACAAAAGAACACTTCAACCAATGGTATTCGCTGCCGACGTTTTACATGGGCTACACGATTGTCGACCTGCCCATCGAGGTAACGCCATTCGAGTTGTAACTATCTTTTGTAAAAAATGTCTTCTTGTTCTTCTTCATCTTAGCCTCACACTCCCAACTACATGGGGCCGGCCACCCTAGTCATACACCTATCCATACAGCTCGATCTCCTACATCTCGTTCGATCAGCCCAGCTGTTCATATATCACTCTCTATTCCTCTCTCTCATTCATCTTCATAACAACTCTCGTGACCAAACTATCTCAACCTATTCTCTCTCATTTTCCCCACAGTTGATGCAATTAACAAGTAAATACATAAGGGGGAGTTTACCTCATGTATTCATTTCCTATTCTGTCCTCCCTAGTCACTCCACTCATCCATCTTAGTATTATCATCGCTGCTACACTCAGTTCAGTTTTCTTGTCTACTGTCCAACATTCCGACCCATGAAACATTGCTGACCTCACTAAATGTCCTATACAATTTACCTTTCAATCTTACATTCAGGCATCCTCCAGTCACACAAAACACCTGACGCTCCGCTCCACTTCATCTATCAACAATGTAACCTATTTTTCGTACTTAAACACATTCACATCTTTTAAAGAAAATGTCTTAAATTCTACTTAAACGATTTCGTTTAAATCAGAAATTGATGTTTCAGGTTTCGTGTACATTTTTGCACTGTACCATCGTTTATTACTTCACCGGGCAGCCACTCGAATGGTCGCGGTTCGGTTACGTCACACTTATGATACTCATGGTCGGACTCATGGCACAGACTGCCGGCATGTTTTATGGCACCCTGTTCAGGGATTTGAGAGTAAGTTTTTTAAACGTAGACACCATCTTAGACCACCCCCTCATTTTGGCGGTTTTTGAACGTGGACATGTTAAAGTCTAAAATTCCAGCGGACATTTTCGTGTCATCGTCACGAAATCTGTTACGTTTGTTATGTAACAAATTTATTGAAAATTTAGACTTTGGGTCGACCCGAGAAATTTGTGATTACAAAATAAAAAAGTTACAGTGTATACAGATAAAAAAAAAACACACATCAGAGTAAAACCAATACCTTCTCGCTTTGCATCGAAGCTAAAATGTTAATAATTATAAACAGTATAATAATCTGGAAATAAAAATATAACGAATTATTTGAATAAACCCTTAACCACTAGAATGACGCTCAATATAGTTAGTACAGCAACTTACTATACTTAGCTACTTCCTCACCATATAGATACTTACTCTGTTTATATGCAGTGCGCTACACTTCTATCGATGGTCACATTCATGTCGTGGGTTATATTTGCCGGTGTGCTTATAAGGATTCCCGATACTCCGCCATCGTGGCGATGGTTGTACGATATTTCATTTTTCAAGCACGCGTTGGAAGGAGTGCTGCACAGCGTTTATGGATCGGATCGACCCGATTTACAATGTTCTGAAGTAAGTTCATAATAGAACACCCGCCGAAATGGCCAATGGGCAACGTCGAGTTCAGCTATCGAATAGTAGACTTCTGAGCGAGTATAATATTTTGCGGTCGTTTCTTTCGCAGGTCCATTGTTACAGCACTTCGCCAACGAGAGTGTTAAAAGAGGTCGGCATGCCAGTCGATAAGTATTGGATCAACATATTAGTAATTTCGACAATTTATTTGGTCCTCAAGTTATTAGTTTACCAAACGGTAAAAAGAAAGCTGATTGTTCATTGGTAGTGTTGATTCGGTTGGTTTCCGGCGAGTGTTATAAAATTCTGTAAAATGTAAGATATCTAATTTAAGTAAACAAGTAATGTTATCGAAAATATGAATTATTTTACTTGGATAATAGTATTACTATTTTATCAAATTATATTAAACAAAATGTGTATTAACGGTTATTGTGAAGTGCTAAAAAAAAATCAAACCAAACATCTATGTTAAAATATAAAAATGTATTTTTATAATGTAATATAATTATTTTTATGATTGTTAAATTTAAATTCATAATGAAGAATTTTATTATGTGTTTACAATTTTTTAAACTACCTAGATCAAAGTCAAAAATGTATACTAATGTTGCTGTATGTTAATTTTAATAAATTTAATTATCAATTTAATAGTTTGTAGTAATTCATTTTAACATGATAATGTTTTTAGGATCAGGTTTGATATTTTTGGGTCATGCTAAATGCGTAGCTATGTATTATTACACGTGTACAAAATAAAAACATATAATAATAATATACAATACAATAATCTCTATTTATTTAAACGAGACAATATTGCCTTGAGTTTTAGACAATAATTATAATAGTATAAAATAACCTCGTTTATTTACATGTTTACTCGACTTATGTCAAAGATTAAAAACGTTATCATGTTATTTATATTTACAACTTTAGGTTAAAATCTCGCTTTTTTTTTTTTATTCGAACTTATCAATGATAAATTATTTTATTCATCATAAATACGTTTCATTGTTTGTCCACAATATTGTTATTGTTTCTATAATAATATATTTTATAACTGTTTTAAATGATTAAAATGATACACACGTCGCCGAACTGTCTGGTTTCGTTGACTAATATTCACAGTCAATTATTGTTATTTATTTCTCAAATATAGACTATAAATAATATGTAATAAAGTCAATTATATATATTCATAGTTCATAATAATTTAGTTTGGTCTAGGGTTGTGAATAATGTAAGTAACCTATTGATATTTCCTAGAACGGCTATTAATACTGTTCTCTGTGGTTTTATGTCGATAGCCATCTTGACCTTGCTTGTGTGAACAGTACAAATGATAATGTGTCTAATAATTATTAGTGTTGTAGTATCTAAAAATTGACCGCAATTTGTTATTTAAAAACAAACGTCGCTGTTTCACTAAACGTTAATGTAATACATTACTTAATTTCTAAACTATGACAAGCTATATTATTACTAGAAGGACGTGGTGGATTGTTAATCATCTAATTATGATTTAGCGGTCGTTGATAAGTAGCTTTTACCTCTGCCCTCTTGCCATAATGGGATTGAATGCAAACGGGGTTTAAGTAGTATATAAATATCAACCATGTTCATTTTTTAACAGTTTAATGAGTAAACGCCATTTTGGTGATATTTCAAAGCTAAAAGACTGACTAAATTACGCCTACTTAAAACGGACGGATTTAAATTCTGTAATATACCATTTAGCCGATAAATTTGGTTTTTAAATCTTATCACTTACCTCTTATCACGTATATCGTATTTCTTATCATTTATCTAATACATCTTATCTCTAATATTTTATCTCTAACTGATGGTGAAAGGGTAACGCAAAAACAGCGACATGGAATTGAATGTATCCAACTCAATAACATATCCATGTTAAAGTACAAATAATTTATATTAAATTTAATTAAAAACTCATATTATCTTAACTGCTTGTCTGATACATTTGTTGAGCCGTAGAAGTACTTCCGAGAGTTTCGCTATGGATTTAACAAGAATTATTGTCATATATTTCATTGTGAAATACACAAATTGGCGGAACTCGATTTTGTATACAGACAAACATGAGGCTTAGTGATTTAAAAGGAAATGTAGTAGACATCAATTCAACTGGGGTTACATGGCAAGTATATATATATATATATATACAGTCGCTTACAATATATTATTCAATGCAAAAAAAAAGAAAAACAATCCTAAGCTAACGTTCGAGGAAGTAAATAAATTGTGTTGGGTAAACCAAACACACAGTATGTTGGCCGCAATTGCACACAGCTGAAACATTCGGCACCGCCAAGTATGTAATATTCGCATTATATGTAGACACACGGTAGTAGAGCTATTCGTTATGCACTCATAAAGACTATTGAATATTATTTTTCTTTAAAAAAAAAAAACGACATCCGAAATTGGTCTTCGATAATGAAATTTGGAAACATACGACGAATATTTTTATTCGTTGAACGCTTTGTGCCTAAGGGCCTATCGGACGACTCCAGCAAGACGAACCTATTATTTACCTATTTAGAAAATTTAATCAAAAAACATTTCAAAGCGACGGCCCTCCAGTATTTTTAGATTTACAAACATTGTATACAGGTAAATGGACTTTCAGGCTGATTAACGCGAATGTATAAAATAGTCAAGTAATACATTTATTTATAGAACTTTCAGAAAATGGTTTGCTGCCGCCTTTCCGTAATTACCGTGTAGTAACATGGACCTACAATATTAAGAAACATGCGGCTATGTTAGATATTTGATAATTTGTACGGAATTTCAGATGTTTTTGCTGAAAATCAAAATTTTCCGTACACAGTTTAAAATCCTTATAATGTAACGCTGTTTCGCAAAATCTGGTTTATAAATCACAACGATATTTATTGTTGCCGACCTAAAGCAAAACCACATGTTTTTGTTGTTGTAGAAATGGCATTTTACTTTTTAGCAGAAATCTATAATATTACACGTGCAATAAGCATTTCAACTGACTTTTTTGTTTGTACACCAAATTTCCAAATATTACAGCTATAAAAGATAGTTTGTTGTGTACACAGATGTTGGACGAGGTCTTTTTTTAAGAGAGCGAACAATGTACGTGGAAAATGATAAGAAAGTGAACAATTATTACGTTTTGTTAAACGTATTATCCGTCAAACGGCGTTTGTAAAAACGGTTATTGATATCAGTTGAATTATATTACTGAAATGTGCACAATTTCGTGGCCCACTATGAATTTAACGACACTGATCATCACGGTTTGCTTGGTGTCGGGTACGTTTGCTTTTGTTAACGAACAGGAAGAGGAGGAATACTATCTTGAAAGAGTACAACGAATGGTCGATCTCGATTTTGGACATGGAAACGTTTATGACGTGCCAACCGGCAAGTTCCAGTACATGACACTCGGTGAGTTGAAAGTTACCTCGGTGGACCTGTACACGACGTTGGAGTGCAGTTACATGTTGAATATATACGTTCACCTGAGTGTGTTCAAATCGTTTTTGCTATTGGCACCCAGGCCGAATGTGACCGCCAACCAAGCACGGATGTATGCTTTTGTAAACGAAACGCAACGAATGCTGACCGCAATGCACGACGTGGAAAAATACAGCACTGCCAAGTACATCATGTGGATGTATCTAGTCCATACTGAGAAAATGGCGAATATCATGAGGTATCCCGAAAAGAAATACAGTCCAGGCCAAAAGGACATGATAGCGGCTGTACTTGAGTCCATCGCAAATCTCCTTGCTCGATTCCTCCGAGACCCGGTGTGTAGACACTTCGACTTTGATAGGAAATTGTTAATCGATTGGCCAGTAATTAACCATGCCAGTAGTGATTATCGTGAATGGACAAAGCTACTAACGAATGCCCGGAAAACTACACTTGAGCAATTGGATTACAACCACAGCAAAGGTGTGAATTCGACAGATGACAGTGTGTATTCGTTGGACGTGTTGCATTTAAAAGGTGTGTTAGACCAATCCGACAAGTTAAACCATTTGCTTAAAACATATTTCACGGTTAGCGATTGGAGTGAAGTAGATTCTCTGTATCGAGAGTCGTCGATTCCACCGGAAAACGTAGATTGGAATTTATCGGAAATCAACTCGGTCAGTTTTAAAGTACTTCAAATGCTAATTCAAACCGACCATCACTCGTCATTGTCACGGCAAATACGGTGCATGGTAGAGTCCCATTCGAACTTCGTCTTATTAATAAAAATGATCCCGTTACAACTGATTAACAAGTATCTGGTAATAGTGATCAATGCAATGTCCAATCACTCGTTTAGGCATATCGCACCAATACTGGATATTAACAAGAAGATAGCAGACCAGCTATCGGCCTTCGTCGACTGTTTGCATTTAAGTCACGACAACGACTTAACAGAGGTAATTCAGTTGTTTCTTAGTTGTCCGTGTCTAAGGGAAGTGAGCAAATTTCAAAAATTATTAAACAAAAACATCGAATTTTTTTTAGAGCAACTTTTTAACGGGCCAATAATGCAAGATATAAAGCATAATGGCTTCAAAACAACACAAGCGGACAGCAATTCTGCCGGGAATACCAACTCGATGGGACAAACTGAAAATGTGACGACCGAAAAGTTACACGGTTTGGTAAATGATCTTGAAGAAATCATTGTGTACATAAAAGATAACATAACCAATTTCGTCAATTTCAAGGGGATTCATTCATTTATCGATATTGCATTCTCAGAGGAGTTATCTAGATTACAGAAACTGGAAGAATATTGCTTATCGCAGTTAAATACAACGCTTTAAACGCATATAATAATATGATAACAATTATACGTTCATTAAATTTGTTAACTGATAAATACAATTTTTTTTTTGGAAATATCACTACAATTTTTAACGTGTAAAATATTTTTTTATAAACGACTACTACCCATGTTTTCATTTATGTAAACAATGGAAATAGAAACGCACATCAAATCGCACAAGTGTCTTTTTAAAGTAAGAAACCTGTGTTTTCGAGTTAACGCTTAAGCGAGAATCCGATAAAAAACAATACTCTAGTATAAAATCGTATTTTTTAATTTTTGTTTACTGTTTACTCTTGTACACAGGGTCACAAAAATATGTTGTTTCAAAATGAAGCACATGCACCAATATGCGAAATTATACAAATACCTTACTTTCTAACATTGAAAATAATTTATACATGTATACAAAGTCTTATCATTAATGACTTACCCTGTATATATATATATACAAACCCTGAGATTTAGATGGCTTATTGATTGGTATTGACCTAAAACGGAACCTTTTACATAACCTTTTACCTCTTCAGTTGACGATCTAAGCAGTTAACTCGAAGCTCAAGGAGCAACCTATGGATTATTTTTAATATGCATGTTGGACTTAAATGTTTTTTTTTTTTCAATTATGCACTTAGTACATTTTTAAGACTCGCGGTTGTAACTAGTGGCGTATAAAGCTTACGAACCCAAGAGCCTTCAAGACTGATTATAGCTGTAGTTAAGTT